TTTTTTTTTTTTTTTTTTTTTGGTTTCCTGCCCGACATCTAGAGTTTCGTCCCGATTAATCCGGATTCGACCCGCATCGCGCACTTGAAAATGATGGGTGAGTCTTTCAATGGGAGCTGCTGCGTACAAGGTCTCGAACTTGAAATCTTACTTAAGCTGAAACAAATCGCTTATCAGTTGATCCAAACTCCTCGTTGAAACTCCTCGTTGGTCTTGATTCCTTTCTTAGGTCTATACAAGAGTATTTGTAGGACTCGAGTTTGGGTATGACAATGACATAAACTTGTTTACAAGCGGGAGCCATCAGGATGAAAATTGAAGGAATGAATAATGGAAATGGGTAAAATGAAAAAAATCTTTAAAAAAATGAAGAGGAGCTAAAAAAAAAAAAGAGGGAAAAAAAAGGGGAAAGGAAAAGTAACGAAAAAATATGGGCCACCAAATTTGGACTAAAACATTGATCCATTTTTAATATATATGCTGGCCCATTCGTCTTGCTCATCAATGTTCAACCGGAAAACCCATGCGCACTTTCCGTCCAAAAATGAATATAATCCGACGAGGTGAACCCTTTAAAATAAAAGGGTCTCTACTTCTCTTCCTCTCAGCCGTCAGACCATCTCTTTCCCGGTGACCTCTTCTCCTCTTTTATTGTTGTTTCCGTTCTGTTTTTGGTTGAAGCCATGAAGTTCCAGATCGAAGACGTCACCGTCTACTTCCCCTACGACCACATATACCCAGAACAGTACTCCTACATGATCGAGCTTAAACGAGCGCTGGATGCCAAGGGCCACTGCCTCCTGGAGATGCCTACCGGCACTGGAAAGACCATTGCACTGCTTTCTCTCATCACTAGTTACTCTCTCTTCAAGCCTGAGTCTCCGATCAAACTTATCTACTGCACGCGGACTGTACACGAGATGGAGAAGACGCTTGCTGAATTGAAGCTATTGCATAAGTACCAAAAGGAACACTTGGGTGCTCAAGCTAGGATTCTTGCCATTGGGTTGTCGTCCAGGAAGAATCTGTGTGTTAATCCTAGGGTTGTGGCTGCCGAGAATCGGGATTCTGTGGATGCAGCTTGTAGGAAGCTGACGGCAAGCTGGGTCCGGGCTATGGCGGCGGAGAACCCCAATGTGCCCACATGTGAGTATTTTGAGGATTATGAGAGGGCGGGTGGTGAAGCGCTTTTGCCCCCTGGGGTTTATACACTGCAGGTACTACTTTATTTGATCTTTTTGGCAATTTAATCTGGACAAGAAGATTTTTTGTTTTAATACTAAATGGAGACTAATGCAAGGATGTCAGAATCTCTACTCAGAACCCCATTGCCCCTACCACCTCAGCTAAGTCTGGTGGCCAAAGAAGACAGTATAGTTCTTTTCTCCGTTTGGAAAATTGAGATTAACCCCTTTTTTTTCTTAATGATAGTGTTAAAGTGAAAATTTCTTAAAAAGCTTAGCTTGTATAGATTAAGGGGTAATTTGGAACCTTTCAGGGTTAATAATGAACTTGCTGAACCCAAAAAGAGAGCCTTTCCATTGGGTGAGATGCGTCATAACCTGTTATTAATCCTTACAAGATATGAGCTATGACGTACAAAATATGAAGATTTGTTTTGAAGACACGTTTCTATCAATTGCAAATCAGATAATTTAACTAATAGCAATAGTGGTTCCATACTTATAACAAGATGTATGTTTAAATCCTGTACATAAAATCCAACCAACCTTAAAGATGCTGGAAAACTATCCTCAATTTTAGGAACTGAGAAATATTTAGATACGCTGGTTTTTATAAGCTAGAAACCATTTAAACGTCAGTACCTCAAATTTAGTTTACAAAATATGTTCAGTATAGTCTAGCTTTACAAAATATACATAGATTAGAGTTTCTTACGAGGTATGCTAACTGAACATTTAAAGATGAGCTAGGATAGTTTTGTTAGAGTTTTACAAACTTATCTAACCAAGTTCAAACTCTAGAGCTTACAACTAGGCTCCTAGCTTCCTGAGGTCCTTGTACTCCCTTAAACTTAGCTAACCTGCAACAATGTTAAACTAATTGTGAACTAACAAGCCCGTAAGGGGATGATACTGAGCAATCTATAACTAAAAACTATTAATCATTTAGTGAACACATATAGGCAATACACCAAGTTCAGAACATGAGACATACAATTCTTAGCTAGCAACAGCTGAAGAGATCTGGTTAAGTTAACAAATAGATTGGCACAAACAATGGCAATCAGTTTCACAATAACCTTCTATGGAGTCAATAATCAATACGTGGTGCACACACAAAACAAGCTAGGTCCTGCCTTAGCTATTCCCTACTGTGCAGAGGTTAATGTCTATACAATAAGTTGCTAAAAATAGCTCAATGAGCACCAGTTCTGTTCGGGTCTATATCTCCATAGAAATTGTACCAATAAGCATATAACTTATATTTTATATCACTGCATATGTCACAGTAATTTCAATAACTAGCATGCAAATCTTTAAATTCACCAATATCACAATTAGAGTTCTTGACTGTTCATTTCAAAGTATACTTGAAATAATTCTAACTCAGTCACTTACTTATTTGCAGGTAAGTTCTAGTCATCCGTAACACTTTTAAAACATGTTGCATGCTCATGAATACTGCAACCAGGTAAATCCCTAGCTGTTGTACAGATTGTTGGTCATTAAAATCTACGATCTTTCCTTGAGTCATGGATTTAGAAAGTAACAAACACTAATCTTTACTGTACATAAACCCTGATATGGAAGAACTCCTACTGCTTCAATTTCTTGTGTTCTGCTGCCCGGCAGAACTTCCCACCTTTTCTTTTCCTCTCTTGGCAGAAGAGCACATGCAAAATGATAAGTTTGAGCCTATTTCAAAGTTTAACAATTCAGACAAAGAGACAACTTTAGTGGAGAATCAGTAAAATCCATGAAGGCTTCCAAAAGTCTAAATATGCTGACTTTTACTATTACATGCAACCAACATCTAACATTCACTGTTACATGCAGCAAATAGAATAACTACGCATATCTAATCCCAATCTGTCAATCTAAAATATTCATGCAATCTTATTAGCTTCTATTATTAAAGTCTGAATTCTATTAACTTAACAAATTAGGACAGAGCTTCCTAACTTATGACAAATAGGGATAATAGTTTATCCTACCGTGCAATTAAGGATTGGATTATGACAAGATGTTACTCAGATATTCTATCCTTGGACATTTTGCACTAATTTCTGAATTCCAAGTAATTCAGATAAAGCAATTGTCTTTCATTTCATTTGATCACTGGGTTCTTTCTCCAGGATCTAAGGGCATTTGGAAGAGAGAAAGGGTGGTGCCCATACTTCCTAGCACGGCGAATGGTGCAGTTTGCCAATGTGATTGTTTATAGTTACCAATACTTGCTTGATCCTAAGGTGGCTGGAATTATATCCAAAGAATTGCCAAAAGAGTCTGTTGTGGTTTTTGATGAAGCACATAATATTGACAATGTGTGTATTGAAGCACTAAGTGTTAGTGTTAGGAGGCAGACGCTTGAAGGGGCCACAAGAAATCTTAATAGGATTAGTCAGGAGATTGATAGGTACGTATTTTGCAATAAGGTAGTGTGCATTGTATATAAGATTGTTTTTAGAGATTTATGTGAGAATCATTTTCATGGATATATTTTGTGAATACACAATTTCCAACCTATCATTTGCAGAGTTTTTTGTATCTCTTAACCTTTTGTGGTATCTGGATCATTTGCATTTCATGGAATTTCTTTTCTTTTTGGCATGCTGAAATGAATAAAGAGTAGAGATACATGCATTTGTGTAGTCAAAGTTATGTTTCTTCATTGGAATCAAGTTTGGAAAGGGAACAGTAAGAATACGTTGTGAGGTGTAATCCATTCTGCCTAGTGACCTCTTGTCTGTGTAAATATTCTATTAATGCTTGAAATCAGTTC